CCGTAGGCGGATGTCTGGTAGCCTTCCATGTGCAGATAGTTGTTGAAGACCGGGTACTTGAGCCCTGGCAGCATGCCGTAGAGAATGCCGATGGCAAAGTACTGCGAGAAGAGCGCGAGGGCCTCTTGCGAGACGAGCGAGAGCGTGTGCCCGGCCACGAGCGCGCCGCCGTCTTCGAGGTCTGTCGCGGCGGTCGCTGCCCCGTACGCTGCGCCCTTGTCGCCGAGGAAGGGCGCCTTCTCACGCTGGGTCGTCCGCATCTATCGAGGCGAGGGTCGGTGAGTTGATGATGGTGGGCCAGAGGATCCCCTTGCAGTTGGCGACCGAAGGGTTTGGAATTCGCGAACTTGATTTCGGATACATTGGCAACCAATCAAAACGCAGGAAATCGCTGCGTCGATGGTGCAAACCGAAATTTCGGCGCCACGTCACACACTAAATTCCAGTAAGGTATACATAGATCTAGTATATGACGTGGCATGTGGAACGCGCACCAATGTCAGTGCGATTTCTCGAGCCATTTCGAACTTGCAATCACTTGCAACCCAGACAACAGAGTGCTCCGATTAACATGCACATAGAGGCTATGCTAATAAGCACTACGTGCTTACTTGGAGCACGACCCGTTGACGCCTGCAATGCGATAGCACTTAGTGGACGGCAAATCGACATAACGTTGGTCGCCACGGAAGAGGAGAGGTAAGAAGGCAACGAGAAGACCGCCGGCAAGCATACTTGTATCGCCTCATAGCAGAAGGACGTGCATTTTGGCGTTCTGGAGGCGGACGAGTGCGAAAAGGGTGCTAACGTACGCAACGAGGTACTAGTACGTGACCTCCTAGCGCACAGCGGTGTCGCTGCGCAAGAGTCGGTCGGCGAGACGTCAAAAAACGACTCGACAAACTTCTTTAGAGCACGGACACAAACGGCGACACCTAGCTGGAGACTGTCGTGACCAAACCGAACGCGGTACCTTCATTGTCGACATCGGCGATCTCGACCGCGCCGGACGTAGAGACGATAAAGCGGGAACGTTCTCAGCGAGCGCGACGCCGTTGAAGAAGCACTGGTTGGGAAAGACGTCCCAAGTGATCACAGAGACGACAATCGAATCAATGATGGCGATCGTACTGACGTAGCGCCAGTCCCAATGCAAGCCCCTTTTCCCGGCGACAACCATGATGGCCCAGATGATGAGCGAGCCAGAGACGCCCGAGAGCGAGTCGTTGAGCGGCTCGACGCCTTTTCATGTCTTGGAGATGGGGTGGACGGCGTCGTGGCAGAGAAGGACGGGATGGTCGAGTCGGGCTCCTCGAGATCGCAACGGCCGAACGGCGGGGATGCCGCCATCTCCGAAAAAGAACAAGTGAGCTCGTGAAGAGCCGGGAGGAAAATCAGCCAACGAATATCTTGTGTGCAAACTTGCGTGACATATGCCAGGGTTGCAGCTTCGACGGTAGTTGCTCTGTTGGATCTTGCAGAACAAATTGCCGACGCCACTTGGGTAGATGATAGCAGAAGGAATGCACGCTATACGTAGAACATTGTATTCGAGAACTAGTTGGTAGACACTCCTTGTTGCAACATGCCTCGACAACCCTGCCCGAGTTAATAACACGTGTTGTACGTGGACTGGTGGTGGTACATGACGCCGGACGCGGAATATGGTTTACTCGGTGCATTCTCGTGCTATACTAGTTCGTGCTGCTCTCTTTGATTCTCGACAGCTACTCCAAGATGAAGAGATGATTAGCTTCATCTTGCCGAAGAGCGATTGTTGCCGTTCACGGGTGTAGGAGGATCGTGTGATGTCAACATGTGGTGTCCCGACTTGCAACATGTGCTATACCCGAGTGGATGCACGCGTTCGATGGTGGGCTGGCTATCTTGTCGTTATTATTATATAATAGCAACTGTCGTTTGCGGTAATAGGCAATTGTCTAACTGACCAATGAAACCATCGAACAACACCATTCAGTACCAACCCGGCAACACCATCGTAAGACTCAACTCTACTTTATACAGGCGTAACATTGTCGACTGTCGAAAAATCTCTCACTTGGGGCACGACCCGTTGACCGTCCCCTTCCCACCGGCAATGCGGTAGCACTTGGTCGACGGGTAAATCGACATAAAGTTGGTCGTCACGGAAAAAGCGAGCGCGAGGAAGAAGACCACCACCAAGATGGCACCCGCGAGCTTACTCGTCTCGCCGCGCTTCTTGAGTGCCTGCATCTCGGCCTTCTGCGGCGGAAGGAGGAAGAGCCAGCCCAGCGCAGCACTTGAACGCATAAGCAATGAGGTACGTGTACGTGACTTCCCAGCGGACGTGGTTGTCGTCGCGGGCAATGCTGGCTTGGGACACGTCAAAAAACGAGTCGACGTACTTGTAAAAGACAGAGGCGAACGGCGACGCGAGGTTGCCGACCGTGCTCACAAGACCATACGTGGCACCCTCGTTGCCAACGTCGGCAATCTCGACGGCGCAGTACGTGGCCACAATGAAGCGGACGCTCGACGGAACGTTCTCGGCAAGCGCGACGCCGTTGAAGAACCACTGGTTGCGGATGATGTCCCAGATTGTGACGAAGACAACAAAGGCATCGATGACGACAATACCGATGGACCCGAGCGCGATGAGCCAGCGCCAGTTCCAGTTGAGGCCCCATTTGCCGATCGCAACCATGATGACGGACGTGATGAGCGAGCCAAAGACGCCCGAGAGCGAGTCGTTGAGCGGCTCGACGCCCGCCCATGTCTTGGAGATGGGCGAGCTCGGGGTTGCAGAAAAGGACGCAAAGACTTGGTTGATGAACTTGAAGGCGACGACCTGCCACATGACGCGTTTTTGGAGGAGGCCCCAGAAGCTTTCGACCCAATCGGTGAACGAAATGCCCGACGACTTGTCCTCGGCGAGCACAAAGATCGTGTTGACCATGATGAGCGCGCACGGCACAAGGCAGATGGCGTACATGACATTCGGGGTCACCGCGTAGTCGAACGAGCCGCCGTAGACCTTGCCGTTGAGGAGGAACGCGACGCAGAGCTGCGCGAGCATCGTGCCAACGTAGCGGATCGTGTAGATGGCGGTCTGGGTCCGGCCACGGATCGCAATCGGCTCGCGCTGGGCGTACTCGACGACCATCGCGTCGGCGGCGCAGTCGGCCATGACGTAGCCAAAGCCGACAAGAACCGTGAGCACGATGAACTTGGTGCCGCCGTTGGGTGCGTCAAAGTTGTAGTATTGCAGCGTTTTGTCGCGCGTGAGGTTGGCGATCGGAGGGGTTACAGATGGGCACGTGATCTCGCGGGCGTCACAGTAGGGCGCACCGAATGGCGTGAACGTCATGACGCAGAGGCAGATCGTCGCGACGGTCCACCCGATGAGCATCCAGCTCTTGCGGCGGTAGCCAATGATGGGGAAGCAGTCCGAGAGCATGCCAAAGAAGACCTTGAACGACCAGCCGAGCGTGACGAGGACGCTGTACGCCGACGTCTGGTAGCCTTCCATGTGCAGATAGTTGTTGAAGACGGGGTACTGCATCGCGGGCAGCATGCCGTAGAGAATCCCGATGGCAAAGTACTGCGAGAAGAGTGCAAAGGCCTCGCGCGACACGAGCGAGATGGCGCCGCCAGACACGAGCGCGCCGCCGTCTTCGAGGTGACCGGGCGACTTGAGCTCGTTAAAGTCGGCGCCGCCCTTGGTGGCCGAATGGATGTACGAGGCACGCTCCTCAAGGTCAAAGTGGCCCACGTCTTTTGTCGACGCCATGGTAAATTGAAAGATGAAGCTCTGGACTGCGAGATACGATGGAGCGCAGAGAGGCGCGGGGCCGCGACCCTGGTTCTTACCGTGCCACGAGGACAACACATGTTGGCGTCCCACGCTACGCAGCGGGCGCCACGTGCAGGATCCGCATCATCTGATTGGTTCGCACGCGTGGGCGATCCTAACGTTGACCTTGTATGGCGTCGTCGTCATGGGGATAATTCTGTACTAGAACGATAGCAGCGAGCGTACACATGTCCTTTGATGGCGTGTCTGTGGCGGACACCGTTTCGAGATACTCCTCGGTGCACCAGACGATTCACCTGCCGCACTCTGCGGCCAGGATGGCTTGTTCCATGATGGCTATATGGCTTTTTACCATGCAAGGCGGATTCCTCGCGACCAGGAAACTGCGATCAAGGGCCATTGATAAGGCTATCGATTGTACTTGCTTCTTAGTCTCTTATTCCAACATGAATGACAAGGCATGAGGACGCTATCGAATACGTTTGAGCTCGCACCCACGACTCAAAGCCTTTTCCTCACACAGCGCCATTTCGCGTTTCACATGCCAACAAAAGATGCCAAAATATGGTATCCAAAATATGGGCGTTGATCTGTCCGCAGTACAGCGGGTAGTAGTACTACATCTCGCCTTCTCACGGTTTGCTTGCGACGGGGCAGTGACCTGCTGCTGCTATTTCAAACAGCTTCCTCGAGGTGCACGGTGGTGTCTTATGGCTGCAGAAGACGAATTGGATTGTTTATCAAGATGGCTGCCGTTGACGCATTGGCACGGCACATCGTCGTCCTATAGAGCGCCTTCACGTACGAGGCATTACGACGCCGATCGAGGTCTTCCGGAGTCACGACGCATCCGCTCTTGTTCCAAGATGGTTCAAAGAGTTCAAAGCTGGTGCCGACTCGTCGTTGAGTACGACGTGACGTTGGTTTGCTCCATCAAGCCGACGTCATCCGCCTTATAGTTAGGTCCTACTGCAGCAACCCTCTTAATCCGTTTTACGTCCGACATGGTAACCTTGATGAAGCAGATATTGCAGTCGCCACGGCACAACCGCTGAGGCGGAGACTGCCATTGAGTGCATCGTGTTCAAGTGACGCGGCCAAATACGTTTTCGAAAGGGGTAAACAGGTTAAAGTCAGTAAAACGTCTTTTATACGGTCACGCGACCGTAGCACCTTGCAACCAATCACGGACGAGGAGCTTCTTTGCGCCCACTCTTCTGCCAGCATGACCAGCAAGCGCAAGCGTGAGGCCGATGGCGCCATGTTCTCGGGCGCGCGCTTCTCCTTCGGCTTCCAAGCATCGGGAGACGACGACGCCGGCGCGGATGCACCGCCGGCAGTCGCTGCGCACCCGACGTCTGCCTCCATCCGCGTCGCTTGCAACGTCAACGGCGCCGACCTCGCGCCGGGCGACCTCGTCGTCATCGACTGGGCCCAGAGCTCATGGACGCAGCTGCACGTAACGTCGTCGACCGACGCGAGCATCGCCGGCACGGTGCATCCGCAGTACGTTGCGCTGCCGACGTCGGCGTACTCGGCGCCGGACGCACCGGTGTTTAGCCTCGACGCGCCGCTCTGGCAGTTTGACTATGTGTTTGACCCAACGTTTGCGGGCTGCACTTGGCCGCTGCACTTTTCGTCGGCGCCATTGACGGTCGAGCCGAATCTACAGTCGCTCTCGTGGCCGTTGCCCGCGTCGACGTTCATCGAGCATGTCTACAACCAGCGCTGCATGGTCGTGCACGGGTCGTCGCACCGCCTCCAGTCGCTCCTCGAGGACCTCCATCAGCTCGATGTCGACACGCTCATTCTGACCGCGTCGCGCACAGTCGCGTGGCTCGCGCAGGCGCCGGCCAAGACGCGCATGCAGTACCTCGAAGTCCAGTCACCGGAGATGGCCCGCGCCATCTACAAGGCGGGCCATTCGCTCTACTTTAACCCTGCGCCCGACGTCCAGGTACGATATCCATCCTCTATGGCTGGTTTTATCCACGCACTGTATGCAAACGAGTAGGAAAAGTACTTGAGTGCGCTCTGCGCCGACCTTGGCATGGACTTTACCAGCGCGCTGGACGGCGGCATGGGCGGCGACATCGAGCTCTTTGCGGTCCAAGGCCGCCATTCGACGCCGTGGCACCTCGATGCCCAGCAGAATATCACGGTATTTTCGTGATGTTGGAAACGATGGGGCCAATTGATATTAACTTGATACTAGATCCAATTGACTGGTACGAAGCGCTGGTCGTTCGTCAAGGGTCCAGTGCACGACCCGATGACCAACCTCCACTTGGCGTCGACCAACACGCCGTCGGTCCAAGACGACTTGCTCACGCACTGCATGAGCGGCGCGACGCCTGCGATGCTGACGCCGCCGGCCGACGACGACCCGGCAGTTGCGTCGGTCGTGCTGCGACCTGGCTCGGTGCTCTACGTGCCCGCGGGCTACTGGCACAAGGTCGAGGCCATGGACGAAGGATCGCTCTCGATGAACTTTTCCATCGATGGCAGTCGCTGGCTCGACGTACTTTGGAACCGACTGCTCCCGACGCTGATGGCGCAGCCGTCGTTCCGGGCGCGGCCCGATCTCCGCCGAGGCCCGGAGGATGCCCGCGCCCAGCTCAAGCAGCTGCTCGCGTCCCTCAGGGCCACGATTACCGAGATGGAAGACAACGTGGACACGCTTCTTCCCGATGCCCTCTTTGCGCCACCGGTTAATGCCGTCGTGTCTGTGGCCAAACTCGCGTCGTCGACAGACCTCGAGCGTCCGATTCAACCGAGCAGCGTGCTCGTCCGGTCGTCGGTCGGCGCGTTGATTGCGACTCCGCACGTGCCAGCGTCCGAGGGCCAGTACACGCTCGCGACGGGCGGCGTTGGTCGGTTTTCCGACGGCTTCAAGGCCGAGCGCGTGACCGTGGTCGCAGTGCCGCCGCCGCTGACAGCAGTGATGAATCGTCTTTTGGAGATGCCATTTGGCGCGACACTGGCCGTGGCGACCATGCAAGACATGTTGTTTGAGCACGCGGCGCTGCTGACAAAGTCGCTGCACCATTGCATCGAGCTTCTCGTGCAGCATGGACTGTTTACGCTGGCATCGTCTTGAAGCATCGACCGCCCGATAGAAAGAATGCTATTAGCTGCGATAAAGGTTTTGCCGAAAAACAGTGTATTTGACGAGTATCCATTTGCACGGCGAGGCTGAAACACATCTGTACGTCGGTGTAATCGAGGTAGAAGGACGTTTTCACTTCGTTTGGGGATGTTGAGCGGACTAGTACGATTTTTCAGGTAATCCTTCGCCTCGTCCTGTTTCTTTAGCACCCAATGTCATCTTCCCGCAGATTCAACGTTACTCTCCGGACTTTGAGCATGCTGCTGGTATGTTCATCTTCCAATGCGTTGAAGGGGCTAGGGTCAGTGGGCTAGGGTTTTACGTACTAGTGGCTTATTTTCAGCATGCGCTTTTGTTGGCCGCGGAGCTAGCTGCCTTAAATTAAAGCCCTCAGAGTCTGCCCGGCACCGAAAGCAAGCTGTCGCGCTACAGTCGAGCACTAGACTAGAACAGTGCAGAGTAATATGCAATTGTGGAGTGTATTATCAAGTATATATATCGAACTTGTCAAGTTAGAAAAGGGTTGCGACGGCCGTGACAAGCACAACGACACAAGACCAGAGGGAAACACTTAGCGTCGAGGCCCCCGACTTGTTTACAGGCTTGGCGTTGGGGCAAAGTGTGTAGAGCAACGTGGGATCCGAGTGGTCCCTGCCCTCCATGCCGCACGACGGTAGCAATTTCATCACAGACAAGAGGTACTGCGGGCACGTCGAGTTACAGAATCCGGCCGCGAGGGACGTGGCGTTGGCGTTCTTCTCGAGCATGACCTTGTCGACCGTTGTGTCTTGGGGTAGTTTGAGAAACGTTGAGCAGTTGGTCCACACCGGCGTCTCGGTAGCAGTCTTGAAGTTCACCGAGTCGATGAGCGAGCATTGCGCCCCCGCAGCGGCGGGTGTGCAGCCATACGATATTTGAAACATCGTCCTGAGGTTCATTGAGTTCTTGGGGGTATCGCCCACCAGGACACAGTTGGGCGTTTGCTTCTCCATCGACGACAGAAAGGCGGTGCACGTGGCCGAGCCGCACAGCGTCTTTGCACTCTCTGCGTCCTGCGGCTCAATCGACCTCAACGTCGCACCGGCCGCGTTCGAGCAGTTGGTCCACACGGGCGAATCCATCACCGCACTACGGAGCGTCATGTCGTCCTGGGTGCAGTTGCCGCCGTCCATTGTCGGGGTTTTCTCGCAGTGCACTTGGTGCAGCGAGACGATCGCGAGCGCAGCGAGACGATCGCGAGCGCGGTGGCGAGAACCAATTGCATGTTGTTGTTGTTGTTGCTGAGTGGGAAAATCCAAAGTGAGAAGTGAGAAGCAATGAGCCGACCACCTTGCCAACAAACGCGCCTCGCAAAAGAGGCCACCGCGCGCCGATTGGCCACCCGGAGGAACGGGATCATGGCGACTGTTTTTGATATATATCGAAATCTGCAAGAATAGCTCGACCGGTGCAACGTACCCTTGCCTCTATGGATAGAGTTCTTGCCATCACCTCTATGGATAACGTACGTGGTCCGACCGAGCGATGCTTGGATTCTGGTGTGATCGGCGGCACACGTCCCGATAGGCACCTCAGTGGTTGCAGCAATATCGTGTACTAGTTGATGTCTGCGTTGGTTGTATCTGTCTTCAAGTGGCGAGAGGTGTCATCGCCGAGGCGAGGGGCTTGTTGAAAAGAGTGGCGCTCCAACCATGCGCTGGTCCAGTTAACAATATGAGTGCCAATTGACAGAGCAGTTGCGCAACCGTCGTAGGCTCAAGCGAGAGAAATGCGAGGCGTCGTCACGTTGAAAAGTCATCGTGATGTCCGTCTCGATCCGCGTACATCGTCAAGGGAATGAACATCGCGCCAGTCGACCTCATCGTCACGGACCGAGCCAAGTTGTTTCATCCGTGCTTTAATACTTACTAGCTTTTGTCTGCGGCCGAGCTGCCGCATCCGCCGCACGCAACAATGCCTCACCACTTTGGCAACTACATCGTGTCCATCGGTGCCGCTGAAAAAATGCTGCCGCGTGACAGTTTCCCACGATGCTAGAACAGTGCAAAGTACTACTGTGCGAAGTGTAGAGTATATTCATCTCGGAGAAATTGTCGACGTGGTCAGGCTAGAAAAGGGTTGCGACGGCCGTGACAAACACAACGACATAGCTCCAGAGGAAAACACTCAACGTCGAGGCGCCCGACTTGTTTTCGAGCTTGGCGTTGGGGCAAAGTGTGGAGAGCACCGAGGGGTCCGAGATGTTCTTGCCGTTCAATGTGCACGAAGGTAGCGATTTCACCACAGACAAGAGATACTGCGGGCACGTCGAGGTGCAAAATCCGGCCGGGAGGGACGTGGCGGTGGCGCTTGCTATGGGCAAGATGTTGACGATCGTTGCGCCGTCGGGGAGTTCGACGAACGTCGAGCAGTTGGCCCACACGGGCGATTTCATCATCACATTATGGAGCGTCAAGTCGCCGGTTGTGCACGTGGCGCCATTCATCGTCGGGTTGGCCAAGTCGGTGCATGTTTGCCTGATTTGCGCGACATTCGCCACGATCGCCGCGGTTTCGTCGCAGGCTGGAAGCCCGGACGAGAGGTTGTTGAGGCCGGTCGCGCACGCCGGTTGGCACAAGCCGTAGGGGTTAGCCCGTCGCAATCGCCGTGTTCATCTTGAGGCTCGTGGCGCACGCGTCCGTGACGTTGGTCGCCAAGAGGTCACGCATGGAGTTGAATTCCGCCGACGTGCAGGTCGCACCGACGCGGACGAGATGATTGCAAGCGCGGTCGCGAGAATCCATTGCGTAGAGTCAAAGTGGGAAAGTCAAAAGTGAGGACGTAGAGGAGTTGCTCGTCGTGCCAACGGACGTGCCTCGCAAAAGAGCCGACGCACACCGACTGGTCGACGAACGGTATGATGGCGAAGGTTTTGTTTTGATATATTACTTGCAAGAATATTGCCAGAATTCTTGCCCTTGCCATTTAGATTTTTTCATTTCAGCATGTGAAACGACCGTCTGGAGCTTAAAATACTCGCATCACCACGTCGCTAGATCACCAATCCTCCAAAGTTTAACAATAGTACCGATACCCGCGAAGTAGCATGTTGAAAAAAGCGGCGACGGAGCTGTACATCAAAGTGAGCAGCTTCAGGCGAATTGCGAATGAAATGCAACGGAATGATCGCCCATCACAGAGATGTGAGGGGCTCCATGGACGTTGCATGGGCGTTTTGCGACGCAAGGAGCCGACACGACCTTTTCGAGAGCGGAGCAGCGAAACCACTCTTACCTCTTCAGATTTCGGCTCTCGCTACCCGCCATGCCTCCCTCGAAGCCGGGGCGGTAATACAGGCACTGCGCCCTTTTCGCCTCTGAGTGTTCCCGCGCGTCGAAACGTTTTGTCCCCGTGGCCAGAACGCAAGGACGTGGGTGAGAAGAGTGAGCTTTGTGTTGGGAGGCCGCCGCCGCCCCATAAGGGACAGGTGGGTGGGTTAAAATGAGTAGCAGCTTAGCAGAGCGTGCTACTTGAACACATGCTTGGAAATGAGCTTGAACCGTGGGTTTTTGATGTTGACAGCTGCTGCTCATGGTTGCTGCCTTGCTAAAACGGGAATCGCGGGTCGGGCAACGGCTCAAGATGGCGCACGTGCTTGGCCGTGATGCAAGATGGGTGTTTTGCGCGCGCAGCAAGTCGAAACGACCTTTTCACGAATGGGTGTAACTTGCGAGCCGTCGTAGAGCTAGTATTCTAGATTTAGACGCCTACCAAGCAACGCGCCTCACCTCACCCGAGGTCATGGCAGTAATGAAGGCATTACACCCTTTACCCCCAGAGCAAGCTCGCCATTGTGAAAACACAACTTCACGCCTGCCGCGCGAAACTACTCCTAGTAGTATTTTGCACCTCATTAGGTTGGACAGCACCCGAGCTCGCATGTCGACGTCCATGACGTCAGCGTGAGTGCTTTGTCGGGTGCACCATGCTCCCAAGCCTCCCGTGCGACCTTTCTTGTAGTAAAGGGGCCGTTGCTGGCGTTGGTATGGTTGCATTCAAATCAGCATCCGATAAACGATGGCTCGCGTGGACGCACCGGTAAACCGTTAAACCGTTATGCGCATACACGCTACAAATGTCCTAGTGGGTGTTTTGAGCGCGTAGGAAGTAGATATGAACTTCCATGAATTGGTGTATCTTGTGAACCGTCGTAGAGCTAGGATTCTACTACTAGTAGATCTCAACTTGTGCGAAGCAGCCTGCCTCACCTCACCCGAGGTCCTGGCAGTAGCATTACGCCCTTGACCCCCTAGGGAGCAAGCTCGCAATTCTGAAATACCACACTGACGCTAGGTGTTGCAGTCCGTGGAAACCTCTGTGTTTGCTGGTGCAACAATAAACAATAAATAGAGCGGCTTGGATCGTTGTCACCAAGGGTACATAAATTAAATTTATGTACCCTTGGTTGTCACCTAGCAGTCGATATGAAATCAAGCTGCTCATAACTCGGTGCCCCCCGTCTTGGATTAGTGAAACGCACACATGTGGACGCCGAGTGAGTAGCATGCTCCTTGAGAGAAAACCCATCATCTACTACTACCTTCAGTCGTCGATCGCGTACTGTTTTGAAATAGCAGCAGTAAATACCATCCCAAGGGTATGCCAGTCACAGCACCATAAAACAGAACGCAGCCGTCAACCGTGTTTGTTTGGCGAGTTTTCGAATCAATTCCATTGCAGCAATGCTTGTCAGCGCAGCAAAACAGCGGATGACCGACTTCGTCGACTCTAGAATAACTTTTCGTAAAACCCATGAATCTGAAATGGGTGTTTTGCGCGCGCAGCAATTCGAAACGACCTTTTCACGAAGGGGCGTACCTTGCGAGCCATCGTAGAGCTAGTATTCTAGATTTAGACGCCTACTAAGCAACCAGTACTCATGGCACCGCCAACGTACAAGGACAAGACGTACCTCTATGTCCTTCCTGAGCAAGTCCCTGGGGCGCAAGTACGCTGTCCAGTGTACGCTCGGGTCACGGCGATTGCAGGCCCGCGCGGTCAGAAGACGCTCAAGTGCCGAACGATCGCGACGAAGGCTGTTCCGGCGGTGGAGTTCGAGGTCCCGAAGAACGACTGCAAACTCCAGATCGTGACGGCGAAGGAAGCGACGACAGCCCCTCTCGGTCACTGGCTGTGCCAGTTCGTCGTTCTCGCGCATGAAGGTCGTGCCTTTACCGGCCAAGTGCAAGCGGTTCATGTCGAGGACGAGATGTTCACGGTGGTGTGTGCCCACCAACGCGTGAAGGTTCCAGCCGAAGCGGTCGAAAGCATTAGCCCGGTCATCGCAACCCTTCCTCTGGGAGTTTGACGTGTCCCTCACGCCGCCAGAGGAAGCCGAGAAACGGATGAAGCGAGCTCGGCGCATCCACGCCCGTATCGAGAAGCGCATCACGGACCCAGCTGAAGGGTCGCGCGACTTGGCCGTCATCTTGGCAGAAATCATGCCCGACGGCGAGGAAGTGCCGGCAACTATCGATCTGGTGTCGCCGGCGACAGGCAAAAAGTCACGGGTGTCGGCGCAGCACGTGGTCGACCACCTTTTCTATTCTGTCGAAGGACGCAAAGCGCCTGAAGATGGCTCGGTGGGCGACCAGTACTGGGAAGACCCCCGTTTCGGGGACATGGGCGACGACGAACTCGAGGAACGCCCCGAAAGCGACCATCCCGGGTCAAGCGACTCGGAGGTCGCAATGAGCGACGATTCAGTGCTGACCCGGCGGTCGGTCAGGCCCGTCAACACACCTAAGGAACCGCTCAAGCGACCCAGCGGTGTGTATATATGTATATATGAACGTGTTCCGCGTTATCTTCTTTACAAAGAGTTCGCATACGTAGTGCTACGCCTGACAGCGGTGTGTATTGGGAAAACGGCAACCAGCGGTCCGAAGCCATCGTCGTGCGGGCGCCTCACCCGTCGGACTCGTCGCCAGCCGGTCCACAGACGCAATTCTGGCGTGGCGGTCAGCTCTCACGACACTACGGCCCTTGGGGGGTCGAGATGGGTCCAACAGATGACGCGGAGATGGACTGTGCTCTCGCCCACGCGCGCTATCTCGCCGGTTTCGGCGACGCTGGCCCGGCCAAGCGTCCGCGAGCGGAGTTTAACCCGAATGCAATCGAGATGGGGATCCACTGTCTGGTCACGAGCGAGCAAGAAACCGCGTTTTGGGATCACGCGCGCTCATTTCTTGCTGACGGAGGCCTTGAAGCCGAAGGTCATCGCGTACATCAAGAAGTCGCTCGGTGGTTTCAACTCCAAGTTCAAGCGCCTGGAAGCGTCGACCTGAAGGCGCCGGGGTGGGCAGGGAAACCCACCTGGCAAAACCATCCCCCCAGCGACGCTACCGCACCCGATCCCTCCACAGCCACCACCGGCTACGCCAAGTTCCGGCGACGTCGCGCCGCAGCGTGGTGACGCCAAGGCACAACACACGGCCACGGCATACAAGGGCACAGTCAGGCACAGGCTCACGACGCCGCCGGCACTTACAGGAGGAATCCTACGCACGGGACAACACGCCCTCATACGCACCGGAACGCTGGTTCTACCGCACCGGACCGCTCAACCGTCACTCGACGTACGCTCTGCGGTGGCTCCTTCAACGTATGCACACGACGCGGGGGTCGCAGCACGGCTGTAATCACCGGAACGCTGGGTATCCCGCACCGGAACGCCATTACAGCATCACACTCAACGTCGACGGACGAGAGCGACGACTTTGACCACACTGCGACGGCAAGCACCGGAACGCACCAGAACGCACCAGAACGCTTCGCAACCGTCGCAGGAAACGCATGAGCAGCAACTGCGCTTTCGTGTGGCATCCATGGCGGCACGCAAACGGCTTGTGTCGGAACACGTGAGGACACCTCTGGCGGTTGACTTGGCGTTTGCGGCGCAGCTCCAGAACCACCTACGCAACCGACTTGAGCTCCACACCAAAATCGCACAAGCACGGCTCAACATTGAGCTCATGGAAGCAGGTCAGCGACAGCTTCCAGAAGCGTAAAGCTCGGGAGACAGTCGCCGACCTTGACGAGACCAAGATCGAGCGAATCTCGCAGCTGGTGCTTCTCAAACACTTGGCGCCGGAAGACACCATCATGCTTCTCCGCGGTCAGTGCCCCAAGGATCCGCGACCGAACAAGGCGCTCTTCCCAGAAGAACTGGCCCGGTTGCTCCACGGTTACTCGCACTGCGACACGTTCATCGCTGTAGCATCAGCCGGATTCACAATCCCGCCCCAGCAGCCAGAGCGTTCTACCAACGGCTACACAGCGTGGCCGTCAAGGTGACACCATTCAAGACGTTCACGCTGCCCGGCCTGGCCCGCCGCGACCTCGAACTTTGCCTAGCCATTCTGGCGCAAACCGACTTTGCCGTACCGGTAGCCATCTTTGATCGGTCGTCCGCAGACGCATTCTCACTGACCGCCCGGATCATCTCGCGCTCCGCGAGGTCCAGAACGACCAGTCCCTCGTCACTCGCGTCCATGTAGAGGTGCAGGCCAGGCACAGAAGCGCCGGGCACAGCGTTCTTCTCGATTAACGTTCGCGAGCATCTAAGCTTGTGTCTCGCGGTGAGCATCTGGGCCCGAGCGTGGTCAACTCTCGACAGAGGCACTCTTCACGTACACGCGTGGATCGACAACGCGTCCAGTGTGTCATGGGCAAACAAGCTCGCAGCGTCCAACGACTACGCTCAAGAGCTCAACCGCCATCTAGCGCTCGCCCAAGCAGTCAATCGTCTGTGCGTCGCGGCGGGCCATATGGCCGGAGCACGGAACGACATGTCCGATTGCGGGTCACGCAACCTCGTCGAGCCGTTCAAAACGCGATGGCTCCAGCTCTCTCACGGATGGGAAGCGTGCCCAGTGCCAGCAAACATTCGGTACATGTACAAGCCGATGCCCGACGTTTTCAAGACGCCGCTCTGGCCTCAAGCACACACGACCGCTACAAGGCCGCGTGGGAACAGGTGGCGGGTCGGTAGCTGCAAGCGCGTCCTTGGCGGGGCACGACGTCGGTGGGCATCGTCTGGGTCAACGGCTTGGTCACCTTGTGGAGTCGAACCAGCCATGGCGGCTTGGGAGTCGGGCTTGGCACGGGGCCACACGTGAAGACGTCGACGGTCGTAGCGAGCCAGCCGAGCCATTTGTCGTTCGGCGTCACGTGTGGGCCGAGGTCACGGCGGCGGCACTTTGCCGTCACCGCTTGGATGAGGCGTTGAGTTCTTGTCGCGAGCGTCTCTGTCGGGGCGGCGGCGAGCACCATGGTGTGGACGAGTTGGGCTCGGGTGACGTTGGTGCATGCTATCGATACTATGTAGGTCCATGGTTCGCGAAAGGGGTTCGGTGTCGAAAGTTCCAGCCCTACATAACCTCTGTTTCAACTTCGACCTGCGATTTTCTGATGGCTGTGATCGATTGCAGAGCTGCATTCCCTCCGAGTCTCATGCGTAAGCCACGATATCTCGACATCTCGGTGGCACTTCTCGTCCATCGGTGCCGCCGAAAGATATACCAGAAGTGAGCAAAGTACTGTGCAAAGTGTAGAGTATATTCATATCGAAGAAAGGGTCGACGTGGTCAGGCTACAAAAGGGTTGCGACGGCCGTCACAAGCACAACGCCATAGCTCCAGACGAAAACACTCAATGTCGAGGCGCCCGACTTGTTGGGCTTGACATTGGGGCAAAGTGTGTAAACCACCGAGGGGTCCGAGATGTTCTTGCCACCCGATGTGCACGAAGGGAGTGATTGCATCACAGACAAGAGGTACTGCGGGCACGTCGAGTTACAGAATCCGGCTGGGAGGGACGTAACGTCGTCCTTGGGCATGACCTTGTCGATCGTTGTGCCTTGGGGTAGCTTGAGGAACGCTGAGCAGTTGGCCCACACCGGCGTCATGGCAGCAGTCCGGAAGTTCACCATATCGATGAGCGAGCATTGCGCCCCCGCAGCGGCGGGTGTGCAGCCATACGACATTTGAAACATCGTCTTCAGGCTCATCGAGTTCTTCGGGGTGTCGTCCTCCAGGACACAGTTGGGCGTTTTTTTCCATCGACGACAGAAAGGCAGTGTACGTGGCTGAGGCGCACAGCGTCTTGATACTCTCTAGGCCCTGGGGCGTAATCGTCCTCAACGTCACACCGGCCGCGTTCGAGCTAGTTGGTCCACACGGGCGATTCCATAATGCTACTGTGGAGTATCATGTCGCTGGTCGTGCACTTGCCGCCATTCATTGTCGGGTTGGCCAAGTCGGTGCACATTTGCCTGAATTGCGCGACAATCGCCACGGCCGGCGCGGTTCCGTCGCAGATCGCAATGCCGGACGAGAGGCTGTTGAGGTCGGTCGCGCACTCCGGTTGGCAAAAGCCGTAAGGGTACCCCATGGCAGTCGAGATCGTCGCACTCGTATTCATCTTGAGGCTCGAAGCGCACGCGGCCGTGAGTGTGGTGGCGTAGGTGTCGTCTATTGAGTTGAATTCCGCCGACGTGCAGGGCGCAGCCGACGCGAACGAGATGATTGAGAGCGCGGTCGCGAGGATCAATTGCATTGAGTTCAAGTGGGAAAATCCAAAGTGAGGACGTGAAGGAGCCGAGCGCCTTGCCAACGCACGCGCCTCGTAAATATAGCCTACGCGCGCTGGTTGGTCGACGAAGGGTATCATGGCGAAGTAGTTTTGATGTACATTTTCCTTGCAAAAATAGACATTCCCGGTAGTCTTGCCCTTGTGTATTTCGATTTCTTCATGACAGCTTGTGAGACGACCGTCTGGAGCTGGAGCTCAAAATACTCGCTAAAACCGACGTCGCTAGACCATCTTTCTTGTGCACCTAAATTTGAGCAATAGTACCAACACCTATGAAGGACCTCTTAACCCTCCCACGCCTTAAAAGAAGCGGCGACGGAGCTCTAAACAAAGTAAACCGCTTCAGTCAAATTGTGAATGAAATGCGATGGAATGACCGTAGAGGTGGAAGGGCTCCATTAACGTTGCAGGGGCGTCTTGCGATGCAAGGAGCCGACACGATCTTATTTAAAAGCGGAGCTGCGAAACGTTTTGGCTGGATTTAGGTGACGCCATTCCAAGGGCACCTCATGACTTAGGCGGCGTGACACCCGCAGGACCATGGCGCGCTCCGGCGTGCTGTGTGCTCTGTGTCTTACGTCATTTCTTGTGTAAGTGCCGGTCGCTGGCAGCGGTCGGTGGTCGCGGCGATGGCGCCCCTCGACGATTCAAGGCCCGTCGAGTCCCCGGCGGCCGTCAAGGAGATGAGACGTCGCTGGCCCTCCCGTGCTTTTCGCACTGCGGGCGCAGTCGCCCTGCCTCCACGAAGTCCATTTGCCCACCGGCCCGCCGCCGCCACCAGTCGTCCGGCCTCGCCGCAGGCGGCGTCGGTTCCAAGTGCTCAGTCGGTATCCTTATCACTTCGGATGCGGGCCCGGACGCTTTCGTTTGAAACACACCCGACGGCTTGCACTCCTCTGTCGGGTGGTGTGAGTATAGGAGCCTGCGTACGACCTCGAGCGAGATATTCCTCGGCGAGTGGATTCCACTACGAGATGGATCTCTACGTGCGCAGCTCACTCCCAACGACCAAGTGCTGGTGTCAACTCCCACGCATTCAGGAGTAGCACTACGTATGCAAAGTCTTTTAGTTGGTCTATGCAAATTTTATTTCAACGCGAACACGTTTGATTGATTGATTGAGCTGCAAAACCACTCGCATTCCTCAATCAAGACCGAACTACTTGGGGGCAACAACTGTGTTGGTGGACGTGTGGAGCACGCTGCACGCCGTCACGGTCCCTTTGGGCGTGACCTTGCCGACTACGCTCTCCGGCTACCTCTACTCGACGCCCAAGACGGCGTCCAACATGCACCAAGCCGCGTTCCGCTACCTCTGGCCCGTGCTCCGCACCTGCGTCTGGTTCAACGTCTGGCGAGTCCGGAACGATCGCGTCTTTCGCGCCGACCTACCGCTGCAAAGTCCATGGGTGACTGCCGTCAAGGCGGCGCGTGTCGCTCAACTGCACTTGCACCACAGCCTCGTTCAAGAGCCCGAGCAGCCTACTCTTCGTCGACTTCTTCGGCTCCTCGCCCAACACGAGTGGCCGCGACGTCACCTCGTCCCGCGGATCGCGCTCCTGCCTCCCCCTGCCTAAATCAAGTCCCACAACCGAGTACACACAACGAAGAAAGTCCGACAATTTTATACTGGTAGGAACCTCTGGTTACACCAGCCCACGGGGGATTAATTGTGTGTCCGTCTGTCGGTCCGTGTCCACGGCTGCAGTGATTGGTAGAAATTGTGGTCGCGGCTCCAGTGATTTGTAGAAATTCAAAAGATATTACCTTCTTCGCACCGTGTTGCTGAACCTCTTTCCCATTGGTCGAAATTCCCTGAAACAACCGATGTGTCCTACTCTTGTATCATCTTGGCGCCATGTCGCCCGAGCTCTGTGGCATTGCGCTCCTGATTGCGCTCTGTGGTGCTGCACTCTGTGGTGCTGCGCTCTGTGGCGTTGCGCCTGGGTTGTCTGTATGCACCACCATCTCAGAAAAGCATGCACGCAACAAAGGCGAGTGACACCTGAAGATAACGTGGACACGCTTCTTCCCAATGCTCTTTTTGCGCCACCCGCGAATGCCGTCGTGTCTGTGGCCAAACTCGCGTCGTCGACAGACCTCGAGCGTCCGATTCAACCGAGCAGCGTGCTCGGCCGGTCGTCGGTCGGTGCGTTGATTGCGACTCCGCACGTGCCAGCGTCCGAGGGCCAGTACACGCTCGCGACGGGCGGCGTTGGTCGGTTTATCGACGGCTTCAAGGCCGAGCGCGTGACCGTGGTCGCAGTGCCACCGCCGCTGACAGCAGTGATGAATCGTCTTTTGGAGATGCCGTTTGGCGCGACACTGGCCGTGGCGACCATACAAGACATGTTGTTTGAGCACGCGGCGCTGCTGACAAAGTCGCTGCATCATTGCATCGAGCTTCTCGTGCAGCATGGGCTGTTTGCGCTGGCATCGTCTTGAAGCATCGATCGACCAATGAAAGCGTGCTAGCTGCAATTGAGCGATTAAGAACAAAATGAAACACCCGGCGCCAATGAGACCACCGTATGCGGATGATGTCCCTTACCTTTGAATCGTTAATCGTTAACGGTTGTCGCACATTGTACAGAGCATTGATGGGGTTAGAGTTTGAAACTGTGTTATTCGTTGACTGCAGACTGCTGTGTCTTCAAAACATGCTACGATGCCTCATCATCATTTGCACGACCACATCGGTGGCGCTGAAATGATGCTACCGCGCGACAGTCTGCAACGATGCTAGAACTGTCAAGTATTGTGCTAGATCTGTGCCAAGTATTGTGTAAATTGTAGAGTATATTCATATCGAAGGACATGTTGTCGTCAGGTTAGAAAAGGACGACGACGGCCGTGACAAGCACAACGGCATAGCTCCACGTGAAAACACCAAACGTCGCGGCCCCCGACTTGTCGGGCTTGACGTTTGGGCAAAGTGTGTAGAGCTCCGTGGGATCTGAGATGTTCTTGCCGTCGATGGTGCATGGTGGGAAGGATTTCACCATGGACAAAAGGTACTGCGGGCATGTCGAGGTGCAGAATCCGGCTGGGAGGGACATGGCGTCGTCCTTGGGCATGACCTTGTCGATCGTTGCGCCTTCGGGTAGTTTGAGGAACGTCGAGCAGTTGGCCCACACTGGCGTCTTGGCAGTAGTCATGACAGTCGCCATATCGATCATAGTGCACGGCGCCCCAACAGCGGCGCGTGTGCAGCCAAACATGCTTTGAAAAGTCGACTTGATGTTGACCGAGTTCTTGGAGACATCGCCTGCCACGACGCAGTTGGGCAGCCTCTTCTCCATCGATGACAGAAACGCAGTGCACGTGGCGGAAGCGCACAGCGTTTGGATGGCCGCGGGGCTCGTCGGCGTGATCGCCTCCATTGTGGCATTCATCGCAGTCGAGCAATTCGGCCACACGGGCGTTTGGAACACCGCCAGGTTCGTCATCATGTCGCCTGCCGTGCAAGCGCCACCGTTGGTCGTCGGGCTGGCCAAGCTCGTACATATCTGGCTGAGTTGCGCGATGCTTGCCGCGATCGACGCAGTTTCGGTGCAGACTGGAAGGCCGGACGAGAGGCTGTTCAGGTCGGTCGCGCACGCCGGTTGGCACACACCGTAAGGGTTGGATATGGCAGTCGAGATCGTCGTGTTCATCTTGAGGCTCGTGGCGCACGGGGCCGTGACGTTGGTCGCCAAGAGGTCGCCCATTGCGGTGAGTTGCGCCCACGTACAGTTCGCAGCCGACGCAGCCGAGACGATCGCAAGCGCGGTCGTAAAAATCAATTGCATGCTGCGGTGCGTCGAGTGGGAAAATCCAAAGTGAGGACTTCAAGGCACCGAATCGTGGCCAACTGACGCGCAGCCCGAAATACACCTCTGCGTGCGGGTTGGTCACCATCATTTTTATATTTATACATCCTTGTGTATTGATAGAATGGAGAGGTTTCCTTAACAAACCCATCGAGAGCGGTGGAGCTGAAAACACGGGTCGACGCAGCAATTGGTGCAGCCACCTGGAAGCGATTGATTGCATGTGGAGACAGCACCGATGCAGGACTTGAAGGAAAACGAGGCTGCGGAGCGGTGACCACGAAACGAGGAGACGTCGTGACGCACGCGTTGGATGACAAGAAGGAAATGAAACCACCGACCGTCCAATTTAGGACGGGGGCCGTTTGAATCGCACTCGACTCTGTAGTTGATGCCACCCCATCTCCCGTCTTCACACCACGTAGGCAACGATGACTTCAGTGCAAACTTGGTCGCCTTCGATGCGTTGTCACGCGGGTCGCTGCGAGGAATGCAACTGTGTTGCGCTCGTGGTGTAGCCAAGTCATCGTCCAACCTGGACACGTGATGACGTGGCCGCACACGAAACGCCGACGGTTGCATCGATGCCTCGACATATTGACACAGCCCAGGCCTGACGACCTCGCTGCTGCTGCAACTACTCTGTGCTCGCTGGCGCGTCCCACCACAAATGATCCTTGGTGCCCACAGATAGTTATCCGGTCAAGCTGCAAAACGACGCGGCGCATCTCGTTCATCTCGTCCGCCATGTTGGCGTATTGCGAATATGCTGGAATACCAGGTATGTGATGTAGGATATCGTTAGCTCAATGGGTATAATGTTTTACCACTCGGTGCTCTTGGGTGCGAGCTTTTAAAGTGGGAGATTGACGAACAGCATCGAGTAACCCAAAAGGCACAGGTTACTCGGGGTACTGGTAGGACGCTCTCTTTCAACTGTCCAGTTTTCCGTATTATGTATTATATTAGCGACAGTAAATAGCATGTCAATTGTTTGACGCTTACAAGCACTATAAGACGGAACGCAGCCGTTAACCGTGTCTGTTAGGCGCGTTTTCGAATCGATTCCATCGCAGCAGCATGTCGGGGCTCTCGCAGGATGACTTCCGGCGCATCATGGACACGCCGCTACCGGTGCATGGGAACGCGCCCCGCGTCCTATCGGGGCTACCGCGACAGGTCAAGCGCAGCATGACGGACGACGAGCGCAAGGCAAAGTACAAGAAGCTCAAGAACGAGCCGGCGGCGGACAAGCCCAAGCAGCCCAAGCTCGACCCGACGTACCAAGGCAAGTACCGCGACCGCGCCGCCGAGCGCCGGTCCGGCGGCGATGCAGAGACTTTTGGTACGACGCCGCTCGTGCGAATCCGCCTCATCCATGCTCTGTAGATGTGACGCCGGCGCCGGCCAACCTCGTCGACCCTGAAATCGCCAAGCTCGTGGCCAAGCCGGCGCTTCCAGCCAACTTGGATCTCTCACTGCTCTCGAAGCTAAAGCAAGAGAAGGCCAAGCTGCAGCAGCAAATGCAGGCGCTGACCAAACCGACGACGTCACTTTTGCCGCCGCCCGTGCCGACCAAGGCTGCGTCCCGCATGGCGCAGGCCATCAAGTACCTCCTCCAGCCATCGTCGACA